GGTTCATTGTGCTTCGAAGCATGTTTTTTTTCTTGACATTTGGTGTCTGACTGGTTGTCCGTTGAGTTGTGGACGGGTGTCCTTCCTGTCCAATCTGTACAGGGCGGTGCAAAGTGAGCAGTTGATCACTTGATTGGCAGCTGTGCCTTGGCTCGGTGGAACAAGGGAACCGATGGCACCGGGCACATGCAGCATGTGTAGCTGAAACCAGATGCCGATTGCAGGCTGATTGCAGGTTGTAGACCTTGCACATGTTAGGCACTCTGAGAGTTGTGAATGACGCTGAATACCATCGACACCGTCAATTTTGAGGCTCTTGCACTCTGGTCCACATAGTTTCCGTTGCGGATGTGTCTGGGTGTTTTTCACACTGCATTTGTTTCATACCATGGAGGCGACCATGCATGACCATACCATGGGGTGGATGTACTGGGCTTCCGGGTTCCGAGCTGGCATCGCATGTATACATTCACACTTGCTTTTAGCTTGCGCACACACATTATATTCACACATTATATATATATATATATGGTATATATAGATACATACCGCTAAATACATACATATATATATATAAGCATATTCACGTTTGTTCTATATGTCTCATGATTGGAGACCCCCTTGCAGAAATGACTGCAAGCAAAAGTCCCGCAGTTTCACCGAGGTCCGGCCCAGCACAGATGGCTTCCCGACACAGGACTGGCCTCAGGACCGCGACTGGGCAGTTCGGTTATGAGTTGTGACTGGATGTTCATGATGGATCGATGAGACAATGATGATAAGGATAAGGGGCATTAAGTGGCTGGATGATGATGGAAATGGACAATGACAATGGATGGTCCTGATGGTGATGAGGATGATGATGATGATGAGGAGGAGGAGTTGGCGGCGGAGGAGGAGGTGGAGGAGCACTACGATGAATGATGAATGATGAATATGATGAATATTATGAATATGAGGATGATGATGAGAAGGATGATGAGGAGGATGAGCAGGATGAGGAGGATGAGGAGGATGAGGATGAGTAATTTGGATGAGGACATATGAGGACTTATGATGATGATCATTATTATTATGATATTGTGAAGACTTCCATTGATGTCTTCGATATGTTTAAGATGTTTTCAAGATATCTTCGCTTTGATTTCGAGCGCTTGATGACAAAACGTAAAGTTGAGACAAGTGGGCAATTCAATCGCAGAAAGAAATATGAGAACTGTTCAAAACTGGTATGATTGAACTGATGAAATGTCAAGGAACTTCGTAAAATTGCATGAAATACAAATCCTGCCACAAGAGGCATGAGAGACCTTCGTAGACGTTCATAGACCATCATAGACCGTCCGGACATTCGCATTCGACTGCAGGCTAGGACAGCACCAGGGCCTCTCAGGTGCAAGATGGGATCTGATGGGAAGATGGTGGGAACATGGGAAGAGCACTAGCAAATTCCGATCTATTTCGATGAACATCGACTGTTTTCAGGTGTTTTCTCATTTAAGTTCTTGGACTCCAAATGGTTTGAAGTTGTTATTTTTCCAGTTCATTTGGGTTCACTTAAGGTGTCGATTAACGCTTTCATCAAGCTGACTCAGGGTGATGCCGATAACCAAGATCCACATGCTACAGTCCATACTGGTCGGTGGCCCGCAGGAGCACAGAGGATGCAGCTGACGACTAAGAAGCTGCGTTGTGGATCTAGGTGTAGACCTCCCCGGGGAGGATTGAAAGACCTGGCCGGGTTTGGAGGGTGGATGCCACGTGTAGCAGCGTTGTAGCAATGGCGCAGATTGCGTAGTTTGATGCTATGAGTAGGCCACGTCGTATGCAAACAATGTGTATATAGCAATCTATTTCATGTGTAGAGAATTTGAAGATAATTCTTTATTAGCCATGTGTATGCATTTGTAGCCTTTCGTCAGAAGCCTTTCGTCAGAGTTGCGACCTCAAACTTACGGCAACTCAGGTCTACTGTTGTCCGAGATCAATGTATGTTGCATGATGGTGCATGTGCAAGTGTTTTGTGTGGAACACATCCCAATGCTATTGTAAGAGTCTATACCCTCCGAACATTCAAGCACAGTTTGACGTTTTGTGCACGTCGCTTGCCATATTGTTGCCATGCCACTCAAGTGATTCACCTGGATCACCCCTCTTTTTCACTTAACTTGCTTTAGGCATCGGCATTATTCGGCATTCGGTATGGAGTTCTGGTGGCACGGCCATGGCATGATGATTTAATATGCCAGGGTTAAGCACAGCGTATAACCAGGTCCAGGTTGCTGGCCCTTGCACAGGAGGAATGGAGCGGTTTCCAGCTCTAGGTATAGTCGACTTGTGGGTTGTTGACAAGTAAGAAACTGTAATTGAACATGCCATCATACAGTATATAATTGCATGATAAGGTATATCATATGTGAACTAGATCACGTCATGTCAGACGTCAAACGATATTCCGAATGATATTGCTGGAAATGCGATTCTCCCCCTGAAGTTGGGAATGCATCGAGCGTTCTCTGCTATGTCCAAAGTCCAACAGGGCAGTTTGGATTGCACTTGGCTTTGAGATTAGCACTCAACTGATCAACTTGATAACTTGAAATAGAAAGGGCATACTGTATGGCTGTGTTCAGGGGGAGGCCGCCGACGGACTGCCGCATGTGTATATATATAGGTATATATTTGGCAGCGGGTCAAAAGCCAGTACACCCCCTGACTACCATCCCAAATAGACTAAACTAGATGAAAATCATCAATTGGCGCATAGACGCCCAGAGGGTTCCCAATGGTATGGTCACCCCAGAGAGGCAATGTTTTCATGCTATTTACAGCCCTTCGGAGCCCATGCATGCTAATTGCAGCGTTCTTGATACACCACCTGGTTTCGGCAACCCATTTCTGTGCATTCTTTGCTTCTCTACCTCTTGCCGCCTCCAAAATAATCTAAAATACGGTTACAACGCAGTCTTCACAAACTCAACTGGCACGCGCACACGCACACACATACACAGGAACATCATGACATATGCAAAGACACACATGTACTAATGTACTTATATTCATGCATGCATGCACACATCACGAAAGCTAGCTGTAGCTAGCTGGAGTCTGTCTTGCTTTAGCAAGGAGGGTGGGAACCCAGCACCTGAGTGCTAACACCTGATATATCAGCAGCACCAGCAGCACCAGCACCAGCAGCACTAGCACTACCAGCACTACCAGCACTACCAGCACTACCAGCACTACCAGCATCAACACCACCAGGGGAGGTGGCAAGACTGGATCATATATTAAAATTTCTAACGACTTTGAAGTGATTGGACTATTTGGAATACGCACCATAAATCACAATCAATCGCCATCATGCCAAGGGAGACTCTGTGAATGTGACTTGTGGCCACCAGGTTCGGTCCGATTATCAGCTTACTATTACGTGAGGCATCAGAAACAGCCATGTGACATCAAAGCTCAAGGCAGGCCACGCAGCCCTCACAATGCAGGGAGCATCCGAATTCGAACCGCTCGTCCCCCCCCAAGAACGTTTGAAGTTTGTCGGGCATGACAGCTGCGCTGTCAGAGCGGAACCGTATTACAGGCAAGAAAGTCGAGAAGCACTCTGTCTCTTCTGGTCAATTTCACAGATTCCTCGAAATGGAATATTCAATCTTTGATGCCTCCTTACCTATGCCACATCATTTGTGAAAGTCTTGATAAGTCTTGATGTTTGCACGTTATTTGCTTTGAACTTTTCTCTACAGGCTTCGTCTTACCGTACGAGTCAATTTTTGGAAAATAGATTCAAATAGGCCCGAAAATTCTTCTCGCACATCTCGGGAAATACTTTTGGGGGCATTTTGGACTTCTTGGTCAGTGCAAAATGAGTAGGTGTTCTTGCGGATGGATCTCAACCCCCGAAGACTACTTTAAGTCAAGCTGCATTCTTTTGTTGACCACATTTAGAGACCATCGCCGTGTCTTTCGATACTGTCCCGCACGAAGCTTAAAGCTTCAAGAATCCATGATGTCAACCTGTCGGGTGAGGTCAGTTCTTGGTCGTTGGACTCGTAGTGCTTGGACTGTTTGGAGTTGAGCAATGATAGTCTCCCAGCAGTGGCAGCTCGCAGTTTCTAAAATGGGTAGTTCTTGAAACAGGGGTACCCAAACCTGCTTGGTTTCAATACTAAACTCGACTCAAATAGGACGATTTGGGGTGACCACCATTTGAAGAAGCCCTTAGTTGAGTGGGGGTGTGTTACTGCAATTGGAATGGTGGCTAATAGCTGTATTTCTGTGAGTGGTATGTTCGCAAAGTCATGCCCAAAGAATCCCAAGGAACTATATATATAACTATATATGTATATGTATATGTTTTGAAATATACACTCACAAGACACATGCCAATTTTGAGACTTGACTCAACGTTTGAAAAGGTTTCATCCCCTCAAGATGAGATGACAGGCAGTGCACATGTTCATAATATAATTTCAAGATATTTTGAAGTCATCTCCATCTCCGACATGACTGTCGATCCTTTTGTAAAGATGTGAGGAATCTGCTCGCTTTGAGGCACAGACTTTGTCATTCGCTTTTGTGCTCTCTCAGAACTTGGAGCCGTCAGCATTGGCTCTGGGTCTCAACTGGGTGAGCCGTCCTTGAAGCGGTCAACGGCACCAGTGTGTGGCTTGATGCTTGGCGTCCAGAAGCTTCCACGAAGCGAAGCTGTACCAAGTGTCCAATGTTTTAGCCCTGCATTGAAGGATTTTTCGCGGCTAAAACGGTGCAAAAAGGTCACGTTTTGACGGTTTGGATGATTCTTCTCGGGTATTGTGCCTTTCTTTGGCATGACATAAAGTGGCTGAGGCATTGAAAAGACGAAATCCGAATTGCCAAACAGCTGTTAAAGCATCTAAACCAAACACCCACACTCGGTGAACACTTGTGAACAGGTTTCAACACTCGGAAGACATGTCCCTTGGACGTGTCCCTTGGATTTGGGCCAGGTGAACCATTTTGTCACCAACGACATCCAAACTAGGCAGTACAGATCACCTGAGGCGAGATGGTTTAGATGGGAGGGACCCGAGGTGTTTAGGGTGTCACAAGGGTAGAGACGGATTCGATTCATTCGTCATTCATTAACACGGCTTAAGAACATGTACTGTAATAAGTCATTGACAGGATTGGAAATGACTTGAAATGACTACGAAAAACTATATAAGTCAATCTAAATCAGTACTGAACTTGGTACCAAGTCATTGAGTCCAACTGATTGAGTCTAACTCATTGAAACTCACTTCAACTCATTAGACGCATGGAAAACGGATGGGCACCTGGAGAATGGAGTTGAATATTTTGTTGAAATTCACCTCATCCCTATGGACCCCGTAGCGTGGACTCTCAAGGTAGAGTAAAATAGCCCGCTTACCGGACTAGCAGGGTTAGCTAGAAGTTAGAGCTGACCCTGTAAAATACAGGTTATCAGCCGTATGCTAACTAGAGTAGAGCTATGGACCCGATGGACGATGACGTCGCACCGAACGCCTACGGAAGTGGCTTTGACATTGTTCCAAGTTTACCCAATAGTTTGGATGCAGCCCAACGACATGAGCAGGCAGTTGCTCAGGTGGCAGCAATGGATCCAAGGGTAGCTTCGGAGGTGTACCAACAAATGCTAAACAGTGGTGGCAGTGTTACTCTTCAAGAAGCAACGCAAGCTACCCTAGCAGGTATGCCGTCAGCCACCGTAACAGGTGCGCCAACAGTAAACAACTTGTTGGCAATGACTCGGTTCAACGTCGTCAACATGAATACATCAACAGGAGATGAAGAACTACGACGGGAGTTGCAACAACACAAGTTTTTACTCAGTGAGCATGCCAGGAGGGAAGCAGAACTCGAAGCATTGCGTTTTAGGCAAATATATGAAAGAGAAGCTTCCGAATCCATAGCAGCAACAAAAGTTGCGGCAGAGCAGGCAGTGTTGAATGTTCAACAAAGGGCCCAACAGCAGGAACAAAGTGTTCAGCAATTGGTCCAACAGCAAGACAACGTTGCGATCAAACGATTGCAAGGTACGTTGGAAGAGCAAAGAGAGCATTTTCAACAACGGCTAGCTCAGGCAACAATGGCTCACGAAAAGGTTGCACAAGAGAAGAACGCCTTAACAGAGGAAGGCAATGCATTTGATGCATTTGTTGACAGATTGAGAACTGAACATCGTCAGTATATCGAGCAACAAGAATCTAGGCTTAAGTCGAGAATTCCTTTCTCTTCGCCAGTACGCTGCCGTAATTGGCAATAGCCGCGACGAGGTCAAGATCCAGGGTTCCTACGGATGATGTTTATGGTGACATTCACAACATCAAGATTCCTCGTGGAGACACGATGGCGATTTACAGTATTGTCCGAGAATTTGCATTGTACAATGAGCAATATGCCATCGCTCAGTACCAGCTCAACGCACAGCAGTCGATCAATATGCAGGAACGAGATCGTGGCAAAGGGCTTACCCAGTTTGGTTTTATGAACATTGAGCAGAGGATGTCTACTCCATTGCCAAAATTTGCCGACTGTGGCCAGGATATGACTTCTTATGAAATTTGACGTCTTGAACAACTTTTGTTGGAATTCGGCCAGAGAGATTCACAATCACCTGAAGCGCGTGTAACAAGGCCGCCACTACAACGAAAGCGTTCACAGGCTTATGATTCCGAAGCAGCAGACGTCGACAAGAGACCACGGTTACAATGGAGGAAGAAAGAGGAGCGTGGTGATTCTGGTCGTTTTGCAGCCTGGTTGGATGACAGAGTCTCCACCTGGTGTACCAAAGCCACCAGCTCCCGTAACAGGGACGCATGCGACTTCAGTTTACAGGCCACCTCCTGTTCCTCGAGCTCCAGTTCCTCCAAAAGAAGACTTCCCTAAACGGAGTGTCGTATCTGACCCGCCTATTGCTCCCAAGAGCATGCCGCCGGACCTTTGTTCCAGGTACAGCGCAGCAGAATGCCGAATCCATTCGGCAGCCACCAGGTGCAAAACAAGCGCCGCTGCCCGATGTTGCAGGCCGCGGCAGTAGGGACGCCGCGCGGTTCTGTCGGCAGAATGATGCCCTTCTTCTCTGAAGATGAGGCACCCAGGCGGGGCAACGTCCCGAAGGACTTCCTTGGTCCTCCACTCACACCACAACCTCCAGAGGTCAAGCCACAAATTAGGCTCCAGCGTCACCACCTCTTCCAGCACCATCGCACCCACCAATGCCAGGCCTTTCGCCTGTAGCTAAACGTCAACCACCTGTACCACCTCCACCGAAAGTTCCACCAAACTCATCCAGTGGAATTCCAGTGCGCACCAAACCCAGTGACTTTGATCTTACACCAAAGCCGCCTCCTCTCAGCGAGCTCTATACTCGGCTACAACCTTCCGTCAAAGGAAAGGGGACGGGACATCATCGTGAAGGTCCTTATGAGACGAGGCCATGGCATTTTATCCAATGTTCCGCCACCACCTTTGCCATCAGGTGCTCCATCTTCATCGTCTTCTCATGCTCCCATAGCTGGGCAGCCTACAGTACGTGGTACAGACGATCGTCCATTGGAACCTTTTGATTTTCCAGGGGTACAATGGCAGCGCACAGATCCATGGGCTGACAACTATTGGCCCAACCATATGGAACTTCGCAATTGGATGGAGAATGGTTGGCAAGATGATACAGAACGATTTGGGTATAGGCATTATTGAGGACAAGTTTTGAACAGCTACCATAACTGGTATGCATTACAGCCTATGAGTGTTGAGATAAAGTCCACCTTCTGACCCGCAGTGAGATGATGTTTCACCACGTTGTCTCACGCACGAATGCATCCTTTACCGGATTGCCCTAGTCGGAGAGTGAACTTTTAACCAATGCTCTAACTAAAACTGGGTCAAGCATGTGTAGTTACATGCCGAGTGAGCCGGTAGTTTGTACATTAGGGTAGCTACGTTCTCCTTGTATAGTGCATGCACGAGCTTGATGAGGGATTTCTAATATGATTCCTTCGCCGCTAGAATTTGATCCTCCCGAGATTTTCCCTACGGGTAGCTCCTTGTAAAGGGGGGTGTTGAAATTCACCTCATCCCTATGGACCCCGTAGCGTGGACTCTCAAGGTAGAGTAAAATAGCCCGCTTACCGGACTAGCAGGGTTAGCTAGAAGTTAGAGCTGATCCTGTAAAATACACATTTGGAAAGATGTTCAAAAATATATTTCTCTCAAATCCAACCAGGGTTGGAAATGGTTCGGACAGAAATGGTTCGGACATTTGGACATCCTTTGGAAATTGGTTCGGAAAAGTGACTTTGACAGAAGGGACAGAAGATGACAGAAGTACCATTTGACAGCAAGATTTGAGAAGCGCAGTGGAAGTGAGGAATGAAGCAGATTGTTGGGCCCAAGTCAGCGCTTTGTCTTTCAAGTTGTTGCGCTGCGTGAGCTGGCCACTGTGATTTCCTTTTTGATCCCAAGAAGGAAAGGGTGATGTGACGAGATTAGCAAAAACGACTGTCACGACACGTCACGTGCAAACATGCTGCAACGGTGACAGAGTGCTATCTTTTTTCAGGAGAAGTGTTGCTTTTTGTTTGTTTTTTTCTTCCTCTGATTTGTTTAACTGTTCTTAATCATTTAAGCCATTTGAATGTCGCAAAGTTCGGCTTCACAAACAACAGCATTTTTACCGCTTAGAGGCGTTTGAATTTCCCCCCTCGTGCAGCACATCAACACCTGACGTTTGCCTCAAAATATCCCCCGGAACTTCCACCGGATCAAATCTGAGAAACATTAAAGTTCAAAGCGCTTCTCATACAGACCTTGTATGTGATGTGAGTTGTATATCCATATTTCGACATTACGGAAGATGAATTTGCCCCGTTTGATGTCCTTCGCTGATTGTTGCGAAGATGGCCTGCACAGGAATACGGCCGTGACGTGCCGTGACGAAGATCATTTGGCGCTCATCGCAGAATTGCCGAGCGATTTGCCCGATAAGGAAGCTGTGTACACATAGGACATAGGAAACCAAAACGTACGTCCTTTCAGACTGATGGCGACAAGTTTGTGCTGTCTATAGTTCATGTTCATGCACAGTCCTTTTCTTCTTGTCCCTGCTCCGGCAGATCTTTGCATGTTCGATCCGTTTTGCCCCTTGGTCTCCGGCCGTTAGGGGAAGTTGCCGTTGGGCGTCTCTGTGAGACGACTCCGGGACAAGTCATGCTCGCAGGAGAGAGAGAGAGAGAGAGTTAGAGTTCATGTTCATGCTGTCTTGAAAGCAGGTGAGCTGGGAATATTGTGCGATTATGCGATTGTGTTGGTCACTGCACACACACAAACTCGTGGATCCAAAAGTGTGAAGCGTGAGGAGTTCTGCTTGTTTGGGAAGTACTCCAAGGACGTTACGAATATGCCCGTTGCATACGGTGTTTGGCTGTGTTTTCGAGGACTACTTCAACAACTCTGGCAAGCTGAACCCCTCAAATCCCTGAAGTGGGGCTCTGAGAGCGCAGGTTGATTTCTTTCAGATGGAGCAACGAATGCCCAGTGCAGGATGGGGCCCCTATTCGGGGTTCTTCAGCGAGAAGCATTCCTTCTCTGAAGAAGAGGCCCAAGAGGCTTGTTGCGAGTTGCCATCGAGGTCAACTTAGACTTCCAAAATTCTTTGGGAATCGTTTCACTGGGAATCGTTTCACCTGTAGTAACAAGAAGCTTTCTCGTATGTTTTTGGAATTTTCTTAGTAAAAAAGCTTTCTCGTAACTAGAAGCTTGCTTGGGAATCGTTTCGCTGGGAATCGTATCACCTTAAATTTCTTTGGTGTGCATAAATAACTTTGCCTCGAGTGACCCCCACCATGACATGTCAATCAGTTGTTTTCATGCCATGGTGAGGAGCATGTTGCCATGGTCATGGGTTTTGTGCTTTTCGATTTTGCTTGTGGGTCCTCGGGTTTGGGATTGCTGTTTTAGTGTTGGGG